AGCAAAGGATATTAAATATACCATTGCAAGAAGACACGGGGCCATGTCGGACTTCCTCTTCATAATGGAAGGAGGAGAATCACCAGCTGAAGCCTGATATCTATTAGATAGAAGTAAGCTATGCTCCATCATAAAATCTTCTTTATCCTATTATGACAATAACCATCGCTTTCACAGCACTCCACTTCTCTGCTGGGTAAAATAGCCCAGGTAGTCCTTTGGAATGGTTACATAGAACTCATAGACAATAAAACACTCAGTTATGGATTTTGTTAGGGAAGTTAATAGGTTACAATAAGTCAGTCTCAGAAAATTTAAGAATACAGCACTTTTGTCCACAGTGTCTCATCCCACTTTTATCTATTGGCTTCCTCTTTCTGGTCCTGAGTCTCAGCCATTCTAGGCTTCTAGGGCTCTGACTTGCTTGAGCAAGTATTTATTACAGAGCTCTTTTAGTGCTGGTAATTGCCCAAAGAGAGCTCCATTCTAGAAATCTGCTTTTGGTCTAAAGGCAGACATTCAATGGGCCAGGAAGACTTCTACTCATGATCTCATGGTCCCCATGTTGCTCCTTCTGCTTCTCCATGCAGGACTCTCGCACATGCAGGAATCTCATACTTGTGGGTCTTCATTCTTGATGTTCATAAGTTCTTAATATTTGCTTCTGAGGTATCTCAGTTTACATCTAGGTGGAATGATAAAATGGACCAATCTCTTTATTAGGCTACTAAGTGCCTTATTTGAATACTCCCACCCAATCAATTGATGAGAATTATAAAGACGATTGCTAGAAGTACCATCCATACCAAGTAATTCAACGGTGCCTGTGTTAGTCTGGGTAGACTACAGAAACAAATTCATAGACATTCATATGTGTATAGAAGGAGCTTTATACACAAGAGCAATTGAATATTGAGAAAACATCCCAGCCCAGACCAGATCAAGTTCATAAGTCTGATATTAGCCCATATGTCTGATTTCAATCTATAAAGTCCTCCTCAGATTCACAAAACACATGCAATGATGCCGAATGCAGGAAGATCACAGACCAGTGGATTGGAAGTCTTGTGGATCCAGTGGCATTGTAAGCATCTCAGCGCTGGCAGTGGTCTCCATGTGGTTCCTTTAGCTCTGAAACTCTGACTGCCTCAGGGTAGTTTCATGTGATTTTTCCTCCACAGCAATGTCTCACAGAGAGTTGAGAGAGAGTGAAAGCGAGAGCGAGAGTGACAGCAAGAATGAGAAAGAGAGAGAGAGAGAGAGAGCGAGAGAGCGAGCTTACTGCTTCCAAGGAAGAATACTGGAGTTCCCAGAATCTTCAGGAGAAGGCCATGCCCACATAGAGGAATCATTGGCTATCACCTGATTGACAGACTAGACTTCACCTCTTAATGCTTGCTCTTCTCAAATAGGCAAGCAATTATAGAACTACCCCAGTGCCACAATGAGGGATTGCAAATAAACTCGCCTTCGAAGAAGTTCAACCAGAATGTTCCTTAGAAGCAAAGATGGAGACATTTGGTTTGCTTATATGGACACCACATCATCAGTAAAGACCAACTACTAGAAAAGGACTCAGTGTTTGCAGGCAGGGCGTCTGCAAAAGCTAGGACACCTTCATCTCTACGTTGGAGGTAATTTTAGTTCTCTAACAGCGTTTTTCAGATGGACTGGTAGAATAGCCCCAACAATGGTCTCAAATATATTAGTGATCTTGAAGATGGTAGCGAACCAGGCAATGTTTCAGTTTGTTACATGTAACATTGCCATGAGTTGGAGGCAATGTGCAGACAACAGCAGTAACCAGAGGAAGAAGATTAATATTGCTTTCCCAAATACCTCAAATACTTTATTAGCAACCTGAGACATGCTTTGCTTGATGTATGTGAGGAGGACCAGAAGCACTTGCTGATGAAGATCAAGGATTGCAGCCTTCAGGATGGATTACAACATAAGAAGACCCAAATCCTCACAACTGGACTAAGAGGGACCATGATGATAAATGGAGAAAAGATTGAAGCTGTCAAGGATTTTGTCTTGCTTGAATCCACTATCAGTGCTCATGGAAACAGTGGTCAAGAGCTCTAAAGATACATTGCATTGGGTAAATCTGCTACACAAGACCTCTTCAGAGTATTGAAAAGAAAGGCTGCTACTTTGAGGTCTATAGTTCATCTGGTCCAAGCCATGGTATTTTCAATTGCCTCATGTGTATGTGACAGTTAGACATTGAATCAAGAAGACTGTAGAAGAATCAATGCTGTTGAATTGTGGTGCTGGAGCAGAATATTGAAAGTTCCACGGACTGCCAATCTGTCTTGGAAGAAGTAAAGCCAGAGTGCTCTTTAGAGGTAGGGATGGTAAGACTTTGTTTTATATACTTGGGGCGTGTTTTCAGGAGAACAGTCCCTGGAGAAGGACCCTATGCTTAGCAAAGTGAAGTGGCAGTAAAAATGAAGGCCCTCAATGCGATGGATTGACACAGTGACTACAACCATGGGTCAGGCATGGGAACCAATTGTGAGGCTGGAGCAGGACGGAGCAGGGTTTCTGTTGTGTATTGGGTCACCGGGAGTTGGAACTGACTCAATGGAAACCTAGACACAAGAGAAATTCCTGAATCAACTCAGAAATATCTTATTGTGCATTTCCTACACATGCAACACCATTATGTACTGACACTGGTGACTGCATCTTCATTCATTCAGACAACAATGATTCATTAAATGCCTAGTACATGATGGACGCTTAATTTAAAAAATTGTGTTACAACATTTTGACCTGAAAGAATACTGGAAAAAGGAATGTTGCATCTCCATGATCCTAACAAATTAACATTTTCCTATATTTCTTTATATTTCTGTCCATATGTCTTGATAATCTTTACAAAGTCTAATTAACTATGTGATAAGTCTTTTCCTTTGTGAGTATATTTTCATAATATTTTAATTATGACAATAATTATTTTGTGAACACATAGCATCATTTAATAATTATTTAAATTCCAAATGATTTATTTTTTTTTCTATTTCCAGTTTGCTATTGTTCACAGCCTGTCAGCTCATTAAGCTATGAGTAACTCCTCAAAGCCCAGGAATACATCTGGTTCAGCTGTGAATCCCCAGCATTTGCTTTGCACAGAATCATAGCTTCTGCGGAGCAAAGGACTTTATAATTGGGTGGTTCAAAGCGTGAACACTGAACATATTGGTCCTTAGCTTGCATTTTTCACTTGTGGGCTCCTAGCATGGGTTAAATTACATGAGCTCTTCTATCTCATCTACAAATTGAGATAATAATAGTTCTATATTAATTGTTTTCAGGATTAAATGCAGTAATATATGCAAAGTGCTTATTATTGGTTCTGCTAAACTGTAAACATTATATAAATGATTGCTAAGTTAAAAGAATTAGTCATCGACTCAAATATGTTTCGTGAATAAATAAGAGCAGTTTTATTTATTTATACAAACAACTTTTTCCTCTTCTTTTAAAATAATTCCTTTGGTGACATTGTGCTGAGCACCGATTCAGTGTTAGATACCCAGAGATGAATAATAATTCTTTAGATTTAATTTTCAGAAGTGCCACCAAGGAGTGAAACGTGCAAACTAACATGCACATTTCCCTGGCTTTGATTTTTTGCTGTTATATAACCTTGGAAAATTAAGCTCCAGGAGGACAGGGCAGCACTTGACCTTTGTGGAGCTGGGCATCTCAGCAGGTGTACCTCAGGTTACCTTTTCCTCCCCACTCACCCTTTTTCTTTTGCATTATTTTTCTTCCTCTTTTGAACTGCTTGGGTTTTGATTTCTTGTGTCTATAAACAAACATTATTCACTTAGGTAAGAAGGTGTGGGAGAAAATCTTGGGACGTGATGATGACTCAGGCAGGGTCGTAGGAACAAGTTCATCTGTTCGAGGACATTTGTTGAAAAACCTCTGAGGGAAACAGACACAGGTCATAAAGTGTCTTGCGATCACCAGGAACAAACATGTTTACCAACAGGGAGCAACATAAGGTTCTTGAAGGAGGAACTGACTAGGGTAGTAAAAGATTAGCGGAGGGTTCTTGCGGGAACCTAGAAAAAGAGGGTGAATAAAAGGGAATAATTATTTTAGGATTAGCGTTGGACTGCAAAACTCCAGGTCCTTGGTTAAAGGCCTCCGGGCCCTCTGCCTGGAGAAAGATCCACAGTGTGCTCCTGTAAAGATCCAGTCTTTGACCTAGCAGTTCTACTCTGTCCTATGTGGCCGCTGTGAGTCGGAATCCACTGGAAGGCAGGGGGCATCTCCTATTAGGCATTTCATTTATTCACTCACATGGGAAAAAATGTATTGAGAGGTTACTGTGCACTGGGCACACGAGTAGTACTACTGATTCAGTCTGGCTGTCCTGGTGTGTAGTTTGTTCCCAGAACTGGCAGTGCTATTCGGTCTGGACTACGGGATCCGCGGATCCGCAAGTTTCCTCTCCTTGCCCCCTGTGCCAAGCAGAGTGGCAGGGCACATCTTGTAGCCAAGATTGATTCCCCGCCCTGCAGCATGGTAACTATTAACATCAAGACACGCAGAAAAGGCAGGGTAGTATCGATCGCAGCGGAGACCATGGTTTTCCGTAGGGCTGGTGGTGCAATTTTACCCCAGAGTGGCCGGCTGCTTGCCCAACTACAGGACGAACTAGCTTCTCTCCTGGCACGCTCGGGTCGGCCCAGGCGGAGGCAGCGCCCCAGGAGAGCCCGCCCGCCTCGCGCCGCCCCAGTCCAGCCCGGCGCGGCTCCGCCCCACAGGGCGGGGGCGGGGGAGCCTCGCTGTGGCCCCGACGCCGGGAAACCGCGCGGGGGCGGCTGGCCAGCCCAGGCGGTGGGCGGAGCCTGGGCCTCGGGGCAGTGGCCAATCGCGTCGCGCGAGGGGTGGAGCCCCGAAACGGGGAAAAAGAAAGTGCGGCGGAAAGTAAAATGCTTTCGTGGGGAAGATTCACCGGATTAGGGTCTCCGGGGCGCGGTTTTGGCTTGGCGTGCCGCAGGAAGCGGTGCCTGGTGACCCCTTTGGCTCGCTGCCTTCGCTGCTCGCGCTGTGCTTCCCAGGAAAGGTGAGTCTGGCGCTGCCATGCGGGTTCGGAAGAATCGCCAAAGCCGCAGAATTTCAGAGCAGAAGGATTCTTAGATATCATGTCAACCCTCCTGTTTTACAAGAGGGGAAACTGAGCCACAGAGCAATGCAGCGACTGCGATCGATCACTCGTTTAGTTTTTGCTGTGGTGGAGGGCTGGAACCCAGCTGCCCGGTGCCCTATCCATGCCTCCTCGGGGTTTAAGTAATGCAGTTGAGCGGTGGCTTTGCCTTTCCACCAGCCTCCTCCCACCCCTGTTCCCAGCTCCACTCCTTTGGGGGTCTCCCCTGATCTCCTCCCAGCTTGGTTTATACAGAAAGCTTCCCCGTGTAGTGGGGATAAAAGAGGGTAGGGCGCCCACGGGTGGGGTGCCCAGGGTGGGTTGCCCACCCGGTGGGGTGCTCCCCCTGCTCGCTTGGCACCACCATGCCGCTTCCAAGTCAGATCTGTGAGAGCCTGATTAAGGGTTGCCTGAAGCCTTGCTGCTGCCTCGCCTGACCTCCTTTCCCTAAAGTTGTCCCTGCGTAGTGTAGTGTCAGTCCTGTGCTTGGTGGAGCCCCAATAGAGGAGAAAACCCCCTGGGCTTTGGTGACCTCCTATCATAGTCTCTTTTCTCTCCCCGGCATCAGAGGGAGCATGCGGAGCTAGTGGCCCTGTGGAGGTTAGAATGTCCCTTTTTGAAAAAGAGCTGACTTACAGAGTAGCACCTTCCCATTTTCGAGTACTGGGAATGATCAAGGAAGCTAAGTCAAACATAAAAACTAACTTCTGTTTTTTCATTTAAAAGACACTTCCCACCTGCCTTCCCACCACCCCCTCCCTAGTGGTGGAATTGTGAAGTAGGACTTGTTGCAATGTTTGGCTCTTCCTCTTCTGCCCTAAGAATCCTTGGGGTAGCTACTAGCTGAGATGTAGTACTTACCTGTTTCGCTTTGCCACTTTTTAGACTTGTGGACTTGGGGAGATTTACCAGCTTTTCTGGTCCTCAGGATTTTTATGGGATTATTGTGGTCACTATGATACTTTAAGTAGTTGGGAGGGTTCAATGGGATAAGTCAAGTAACATGCCTGGCACCTGATGAGCTGTAAACTGATGACAACTATTGTATATAATATCATATAGTAACTGTGGGGATTCAGGATTTCCGAAATGCAATTGTATACGTTACAATGTTTTTTTTTTGAAAGTCTGGAAATATGGGGATGCTTTCTTCAGGGACTCCAACCGGTTCATTCTGGTTCTGGCCCTTGAATATAATTTGCATTTTCATTGTTGGTATAGTAAACCGAGTCTACATATATACATAATAATCACTTGCCAATCTATAAAAATCACCTGGGGGTCTTGTTGAAATGCAGGAGGTCTAATTAATGGAACCTGTTGGAAAGCGATCAATTTCTTCTTTGAAGTTTAAATGCTTCTGTGATAGGAAGTGTTTTCAGATTGTTGACCACATGTGCCTTGTCTTCATGTATAAGACACAGAAATATTGTTTCCCAGTAATGCAAATTCCCTAGTACTTTTTTTAGGCTAGACCTCCTCTCTGTGAGCTCCCCGGGTCAGAAAGCATCCTTTTTTAACCCACAAAAGGGTCTTTTATTTAATGAGAGATAGAAAGACGAAAGAACTTAGAGGTTCCAACTTTAATTTCTGCTCTCTTAGGTTAAACACTTTGATGTATTTTAGTATAGGCAGACAGCAACAAAATCCTCATATATTTCTGGATTGGGTAGTGATGCTGTTAAATTCAATTTCTACAGGATGCAGATTTGACTCATGTGAAACGTACACACACTCATGCACACACCAATACTAGTCTTACTTTGTTATTGGTATTTTAAAATTAAATTACTTCCTTCACACAATCTGCTCATGACATTTGATTATACTCTGATGGATTTCATACAGTTATTTACTATAAAATACAGCCATGGTTGAAACTCTGTGTTTAAGAGCATATCCCCTGTTCCCATTGGTTGCCTCCTTCACAGTCCCTAGCCTTAGCATGGTAATGCTGCATGCGCTAGAGGGGGTGTGGTGCATCTGTCTTCCGAGAAAGGAAGGTACCTGCTTTGGTACTTCCCACACCAAGCATTTCTGAGGATGGGATCACTTGCTTCAGTCTGCTAGTTTCGTGTGTTTCCATTGTGATAAGCTGGCCAGGATACACCTGAAAGCATTCCTGAGAGACTGGGGACTTGTGGGGAGATGGAAAATGTTCAAAATAAGGTCAGGACAAGGGGATGGAAATGAGACTGAACACTATTTCTATTTGACACTGATTCTTTGATGGAAGGACACCCAACTATCTACTTCCTATTTGGTTTTCATTTGTTATTACCAAAACAATACATATGTTTGTTTAAAAATTTTTAAATTTCCAAAGTATATTCCACATAGATTATCTTCTTGCTACTTGCAGTAGCCCTGGGAGAAGTACATGGCTGGCAGAGGAAGAAGTACAAGCAGCGAGAAGAATCCAGGTTTTGTGGTCAAACCTACATGATTTCCAATGCTAGCCCTGAGGCTTATGTAGCTGAGAGATACTGGGAAAGTTACCTAACCATTTACAGCCTCTGTTTATTCCCATTCTAAAACAAACAATAGCAACAACAGCAATAGAGGCAATACTCATCCTCACAGTTTTGTCCCTGGGTGGTGAAAATGGTTAATATGCTCAATTGCTAACTGAAAGTTGGGGTTGAGTCTACCCAGAAGAGCCTCAGAAGAAAGGCCGGGTGATCTACTGTAGACAAATCAGCCACTGAATACATCGTGGAGCCCAGTTGTACGCTGACACACACGAGGTCACCATAAACTGGAATGGAATCAGCACCCGCTGATTACCTTGAAATGCAATAGTGTAAATGACACACAGTGATTCACACACTCACTTCAATGGAACTGATTTGATTTCAACTCCTTGAGCATCTATGGTATAGTGCAGAACTGCTCCTGTGGTTTTCTGAGACTGCACATCTTTACAGGAACAGAAAGCCTCATCTTGTGCCCACACAGCAGCTAGTGGGTTAGAATTGGTGACTTTGTGGTTAGCAGCTCAATTATTAATCCACTGTGTTACCAGGACTCCTTATACAGTGATTACATGATACCTCTTCTTAGCTATTCTCAATTTGTTGAGAAATCCACTCATTGAGACTCAGAGAAATGAGAGATTTCTAAGGGTCCTGAAATGGGTTAAAATCAATCCAGCAATAGAGCTAGTTCTATTATACCTAAGGATAGCATGAGTTAGAGTTTATTCAAAGGAAACTCATACCACAAATCGAACCATTTGACTTCCAGCTCAAGATTTTTCCCATCACACTCTGAGATCTTTGACAATATACCTCAGTGTTAAGTTGGCTTTATTGGGTTGGTGATTGTAAGTGATCCTTCCAGCCCCCACAGAGGATATTACTAATGGAATGATACTTAACCATAAAGCTATCATGTTTGATCGGCCCACTCCCAGGAGAGCGTTTAAAAGGAAGATCCCTAAAGCATCCCTGCTGCTGTCATGTACTGGGGTTTGATGTCACACATCTTCAATTGCTCCGAGGAAGGGTACTGTGAAGACACTCAGCGCAGAACTGTGTCAGGTTTTCCTTCCTGTTTTCAGGGACTTCTTTCCCGTGCTGTCTCTGCCGTAGCAGGCAAAGTGGTAAGAAGATTGAGGAATCAGTGCTACGAGTCATTACTTACCTCTTTCATCAAGCCATGAGTCAAAGGTGACCGATTACAGGGCTTCAGAAAGTTTGTGAAAAAAAATGTTTCTTTCAAAAATGGTCTTGCAAGAAGATGGGATTTTTCACAAACGTCGTGAAGCCTCTGGGAAGAGAAAGCAGTGTGCAAAAGCAGCCATTGCTGCTGTGCTGAGCGCCGCCTGGTCAGCTGCTGGGGTTTCCATCCTCGGGGATTGGATGGCTAACGATTTAGGCAGAAAGATGAACACCGTTGTTTCTGAGCAGGCAGGGGGACCCTTCACTGGCCGCCAGGTTTCTCTGCTTGGATGCGAGCAGAGGAGCTTGCAAACTCAGTTCCGGGAGAAACATTTTGCTCTTGCCTTTTGGTTGTTGGGGAGTGTGTGGCTTGCTTGCTTCTGTCAAAACGGTAGGCACTTAGCGTCTTTGTCCCTGGCAGTTAGGAGACCAGAATGGGACTGGAGGCAATCAGAGAAGGAGATCAAGAATGAAAATAAAGGTTATCTCCAGAAAACACAGTTGCATTTGTGGCTCAACTTTGTCAGCTTTTGCTGGTGACACAGATGGAGGAGCTGGTGAGTCACTGTCACCAGGCTGGTGCACTATTCAAAAAAGCCACCTACAGAGCTCTTGGCTCATTTTGGAAATAGTTCTGTAGTGGTGAAGCGAGAGTAAAACGGGAAGGCTACAGAACATTTGGTATCCAATATTGATAATTTGGGGGGAGGGTGGCGTCATTTGCCCATTTTTCCTTGTTTTCTCTACCCCTGAAAGAGAGAGTGCTGGCACTGGCAGTTGGACGAAACAGAGCCACCGTGGTCCGCTGTCCTCTTCCTAGCCTGACTTTATGCTGACTGCCACTGGAGCTGGGACAGTGTGGGCCTGTGAGGATGACAATTACCTGAGACAAGTTCATCCACCAGGAGGAGGCTCTATCTCCTTAGCTAGGAAATGGGGATTTGATGCCTATTTGGAGGTTAAGGTCCCTGTCTCAGCAACATATTCATGACACAACAAACACAAAAAGCCATGGCATGGCACCAGTTGCAACTGAGCGACCGGCCCTGTAAGACAGGGTCGGACTGGCCCTGGGCACGTCTGAGACCATAATTCTTTAAGGGAGTAGAAAGCCTTTCTCCCATGGTTTCAAACTACTGACCTTGCACTAAGCAGCCCAGGAAGTATTTAATACACATGAATTGTTTCTTCTTCTCTTTCTTCAATTTATTAGTAGACTTATGATCATCCAAATGACTGAACTCTGTTTTGATTTAT